GCTACATACAAATATATATATTTGGTATCAGAATGTGAGTTCTTATTATTTCGATACTCAAGAAGTCGCATTATTCGCATTAATAAAAACCTGGCAATAATTTTTGAATTACCAGTATTGCTAAAGGAACAGGTCAATCCTATTTGGCCTCTCCCGCTCAGTTTTGGTTTATTGACTTTTAAACTTTTCCATTGTTGATTTTTTAAAAGTTTGTGATTAGGTCAGTTTAAGGGGAACCACCTTTGCCATGCTAATGACATATAGTATGTAGATGTATTATCATTGGCACATCTAATTTCCATGGAGATAAAATCACTTTTTAGCACTTCATATATGGTTATTTTACTGGATGCTATTTACAATTGAACTTGATTTTAGGTTTGCATATGTTTGTTTGTTGTTTGTTTTAACACCATTTCGTATGTATATGAATCTCTGTTGTGTTATTCTCATAGTGCCAGAACGGCCTAAAGCAGAAATCCTGAAGCAGATTTATTTCTTCAAACACTACAAATTTCGATTCATGCAATTAAATAACCCTGATTCCTCATAATGAATGTACTGATGAAATTCCTCTACATAAATTTTCTCTTTATGCATTTATGTACCCGTCCAATCTTATTAGCAGTTGTGATTACCTATTTGAAATGTTGGCAAGAAAAAAGTTGCAAAGATCCTGTACAATATAAAAAATAAATGTGGATAGTGTCCACATGTGGACACAGATGATGCCCCCGCTTGCATATCATATAGTTATAAAGGAACATAACTGAAGAATGGTAAAAGTGATGCTACCCAAATTTGAACTTGATCTGAGTTTTGTGGTAATAAGCATTGAGTGTAAGTCTCATAACATTTGGTTGAGGCTAACTTAAGTAGAGAACAGAAACTAAAAATTCAGCAATTTTTCTATTTGTAAACACGCATAACTCTAGAACGATTGTGTATAAGTTTTATAACATTTGGTTGAGACAAACTAAAGTTAGAGAACAGAAACGAAAAATTCAGCAATTTTTATGTTTATGAAGGAACAGAACTCAAGAATGGTAAAAGTGTCGCCACCAAATTTCGTACTTAATCTGTATTATGTAGTAATAAGCATTGTGTATAAGTTTCATAACATTTGGTTGAGGCAAACTAAAGTTAGAAAACCGAAACAAAAAATTTGTACTTGATCTTAGTTTTGTGGTAATGAATATTGTGTATAGGTTTCATAATGTTTGGTTGGGGCAAACTTAAGTTACAGAATGGGAACTAAAAATTTTGCAATCTTTCGATTTATACAGGGGCATAACTCAATAATGGTTAAGGTGACACTACCCAAATTCAACTTGATCTGTGTTTTATCAGTGGAAGTCAAAATTAAACATTGCATTGTATAAAGCATTGATTGTAGTTGATTCAACTATAATCATTGACAAAGGAAGATAACTCCAAATTTAATAAAATGCTCCGCTGGGACGCAGCTTGATACGACCGCAGAGGTCGAACCCTGAACAGTTGGGGCAAGTATGGACACAACATTCAAGCTTGATACAGCACTGAATTTGGATTGTAATTAAATATTTGACACAGCATAGGTTTCTGACACAGAATGAATGTGGTCTAAGAACTTAAAAATTTTTAATTTACATATTCAAACCATATCATTATTATTTGCTTTTATATATAAATCAGAAATAACCAATTTAAAATGGAAAATTTTAAAGAAAAAAAAGGAAAAAAAAATCCCCCCCCTAATTTTTTGAACCCCCTTATGATTCATCACCCCCAAACTCAATCCCAGCCTTCCCTTTGTGGTATGGTACCTTGCAGTACAATTTCAGAGAGATCCATACACTTGAACACAAGTTATTGTTTGGAAACTAGAAAAATGCTTGTTTTTTCGGCCCCTTTTTGGCCCCAAATTCCTAAACGTTTAGGGCAATTACCCCCAAACTCAAACCTAGCTTTCCCTCTGTGATATGGAACCTTGTAGTACAATTTCATAAAGATCAATACACTTACACACAAGTTATTGTCCTGAAACTAGAAAAATGCTTGTTTTTTTGCCCCTTTATGGCCCCTAATTCCTAAAATTTTGAGGCAATTACCCCCAAAATCAATCCCAGCCTTCCCTTTGTGGTATGGTACCTTGCAGTACAATTTCAGAGAGATCCATACACTTGAACACAAGTAATTGTCTGGAAACTAGAAAAATGCTTATTTTTGGCCCCTTTTTGGCCCCTTATTCCTAAACGTTTTGGCCAATTACCCCCAAACTCAATTCCAGCTTTCCCTTTGTGATATGGAACCTTGTACTACAATTTCTACAGATCCATACACTTAAACACAAGTTATTGTCATGAAACTAGAAAAATGTTTGTTTTTTGCCCCTTTTTTGCCCCTAATTCCTAAAATTTGGTGGCAATTACCCCCAAAATCAATCCCAGCATTCCCTTTGTGATATGGAACCTTGTGGTACAATGTCAGAGAGATCCATACACTTACACACAAGTTATTGTCATGAAACTAGAAAAATGCTTGTTTTTTGCCCCTAATTCCTAAAATTTGGAGGCAATTACCCCCAAAATCAATCCCAGCATTCCCTTTGTGATATGGAACCTTGTGGTACAATGTCAGAGAGATCCATATACTAACACATAAGTAATGTCTGGAAGTTACAAAAATGCATATTTTTGGCCCCTAATTCCTTAACTTTTAGTACCATAACCCCCAAAATCAATCCCCACCTTCCTTTTGTAGTATTGAACCTTATGGTAAAATTTCATAGAGATCCATTTACTTAAACTAAAGTTAGAGTGCGAAAACCAATGTCTTCGGACGACGACGCCAACGTCATACCAATATACGACCGCAGTCGTATAAAAATGACTTGATATTTCGAAGAAAATAAAAATTTTGCAATTTTTCCGTTTACAAAGAGCATAACTCTAGAATGGTTAAAGTGACACCACCAAAATTCAAACTTGATCTGTGTTTTGTGGTAATAAGTATTGTGTATAAGTATCATAACATTTGATTGAGGCAAACTCAAGTTAGAGAACGGAAACCAATTTTGGGACGTACAGACGGACAAGGGTAAAACTTAATGCCCCCACCGCTATGTGGGGGCATAAAAATAAATGGAGAATGTGACCCCATGTACACAGATGATGCCTCCGCTTGCATACATTATAAAGGGACATAACTCAAGAACGATAAAAGTGACGCTACCCAAATTTGTACTTGATCTGAGTTTTCAGGTAATTAGTATTGTGTATTGGTTTCATAATGTTTGGTTGGGGCAAACTTAAGTTACAGAACAGAAACTAAAAATTTTGCAATTTTTCGATTTATAAAAGGGCATAACGCGATAATGATTAAAGTGAGGCTACCAAAATTCAACTTGATCTGTGTTTTGTGGTTAAAAGCATTGTGTATAAGTTTCATAACATTTGGTTGAGGCAACTTAAGTTAGAGAACGGAAACTAAAAATTTTGCAATTTTTCCATTTATGAAGGTGCATAACTCTAGAACGGTTAGAGTGACCCCACCAAAATTCAATCTTGATCTGTATTTTGTGGTAATTAGCATTGCGTATAAGTTTCATAACATTTGGTTGAGGCAAACTTAAGTTAGAGACTGAAACGAAAAAATTTTGCAATTTTTCCATTTATAAAGGGGCATAACTCTAGAACGAAATAAAGTGACGACACACAAATTCAAACTTGAAATGTGTTTTGTGGTAATATGCATTGTGTATAAGTTTCATAACATTTGGTCGAGGCAAACTTAAGTTAGAGAACGGAAACTTAAAAATTTTATAATTTTTCCATTTATTAAGGGGCATAACTCTAGAACGGTTAGAGTGATGCTACCAAAATTCAAATTTGATCTGTATTTGGTGGTAATTAGCATTGTGTATAAGTTTCATAACATTTGGTTCAGGCAAACTTAAGTTAGAGAAATGAAACTAAAAATTTTGCAATTTTTACATTTATAAAGGGGCATAACTCTAGAACAGTTAGAGTGACGCTACCAAAATTCAATCTTGATCTGTGTTTTGTGGTAATTAGCATTGTGTATAAGTTTCATAACATTTGGTTGAGGCGAACTTAATTAAGATAACAGAAACTAAAATTTTTGCAATTTTTCCAATCTATAAAGGGGCACAACTCTAGAACGGTTAAAGTGACGCCACCAAAATACAAAATGATCTGTGTTTTGTGGTTATATGCATTGTGGATAAGTTTCATAACATTTGGTTGAGGCAAACTTAAGTTAGAGAAAGGAAACTAAAAATTTTGTAATTTTTCCATTTATAAAGGGGTATAACTCTAGAACGGTTAGAGAAACCCTACCGAAATTCAAAATTGATCTGTATTTGGTTGTAATAAGCATTGTGTATAAGTTTCATAACATTTGGTTGAGGCAAACTTAAGTTAGAGAACGGAAACTAAAAATTTTGCAATTTTTCCATTTATAAAGGGGCATAACTCTAGAACGGTTAAAGTGACGCCATCAAAATTCAAACTTGATCTGTGTTTGGTGGTAATTAGCATTGTGTACAAGTTTCATAACATTTGATTGAGGCAAACTCAAGTTAGAGAACTGAAACCAATTTTGGGATGTACGGACGTACGTACAGACGGACAAGGGTAAAACTTAATGCCCCCAGGCCCTCCGCTACAGCAGGGGCATAAAAATCTTGTTTTAGTACCAGTGGCAATTCTTGAATAAGGCTGTTCCTTTAAACATACCTGTATACTGGAAATGCACTTTCAAAAAGGGGTAACAATGAATAGAGGGCTGGGCCGCTCAGGCAAATTTAGAATTTCACTTACATGTACATTTTCACTGTTTTTGACACTAGCAGATATTTGAGATTTCAAATTGCCTTCCCTGGGTCCCATGTATATTTTTAAAGGCCATTTAGAGACTTCTACATGTACTTTTGATATAGTTGTAGTGTATGGTAGCTGTCTAATTGACCTCTATTTTTTACCCTCAGCAATAAATACATTTAGATAATTTTAATGCTAAGAAATTTCACTCTCTTTGTCAATTTCATTTTCTGATTCCTCATTGTCTTTAGCTTTTTCAGCAGCTTCCTTTTTGCTAGCTTCTATTTTCTCCACTTTCTTTTTTTGTTCTTCATAATAATCAAAAACATCCATATTCCAGTGCCTAAGAACACCAGCACGCTTTTGATCCTTTCCTTGTCTAAGTCTTTCTGCTTCTATATATGTCATAGGATGTATTGGTAAAAGTCCACTTAAACCTAAAAAAAAAAAGATAATCATCAACCTTAGAGCAATGAATTACTCTATGGATATGTATAAAAAGCAGGGCCTAATCTAGGATTTTGAAGAGGGAGAAGTGACTTCTCCTTCCATTAGAGAGAAGGGAGAAGTGGTCAATTTCTTGGAGAAGTGAGATTCCATTACCGTTTCGGTTGCATCGTGTTTTCATGATTATCACTAAGGAAATTGTTTTAACTTCAATAAAAGATATACTTGCATTTTTTTCATATGTTATTGTACACCATGTATATATAGAAAGTTCTTAATAAAAAGGTTTAGACAATTTATAGTTGTTATTTATTTATTGATACCATTGTGTTGAACTGTTCTAAATAAAATTTGTTGATTGGGACATGAGGGAGTAGCCTAGTAATATTATCATGATTTTGATGCATTAAATTCATTTGCATCTGCCTCAATTTATTTTTAAAACTCCAGAAAAATATGATTCCCAGTTTACCTGATGAATTTTACATGACTGGGAATTTAATTTACATCACCACTTGTCATTATTTTGTAAATCATTATTGAATGTCCAGGACATTGTGTTAGTTGTAAATTGAGATTATCGTTAAAGATTGCAAGTCTATGAATGAAAATATGTTTCAATCGCATATTAATTATCCGATAAAGAGCTAATTTCTATAATTTTTTTGAAATATCATCCATATCAACGAAGTGGTCATGAGAAAAAATCCACTGCTGATCACAATCTGGTCGAGTGTCGTACGTTTGCAATCACATTATCCATCAGCTGTCTTTCTACCTTTTATATTTCAATTTTTATTCAATGAATATAATAAATCTACCGTTAATTCCCACCTTTAACCTACCGAATAGTAAAATTGATCGACTCGTGTAAGTAATAAAAATAAAACAAATCAGCTGAGTGATTACGCAACATCCTCAGATCAAGGATTTGTATATCACTATACAAATCCTTGCTCAGATGAAAATCATCGTAAAATGATAACTTAAACATACGGTCAGTTTTCCGTTTGAACAGTTTTGAAAGTTATATCCGAGGATGTTCAAAGTCGCCGTTGTATTTATTTAATTTGATCGTTGACAGTATTAGTCCTGGGTCGTTTCGAAAATCTCGATTTTCCTTGTCAGCCGCCATTTTTTTACCCGTGAGACTTGTCAATCACAAGTTGTCTCCCTTTTACCGATTTTGATAGCGATTTGACTTCGCTATGAAGTCAGTCGGCTGGCGAGATTTAGCGATTTTCAAAATTCTTTGGCGACTTAAATCGTCATTTCGCCGGCAAGATTATGGCCTGAAAAGAGATGGGTGTCGGCTAAACAGCAATGAATTACTCTATGGATATGAATAGAAAGAGATGGGTGTGGGCTAAACAGCAATGAGACAGCAACACAAAAAGTTGGAACACATCTAGAAGTCAACATACAGTCTTAAACAATTACAATATGTCAAGTTCTAGGTAAACTGTAAGAGTCTTTAAATATAATGAATTAATTAAACAGACACTAACAAAGAATTCCCTAAGGGGCTGTGAAAGTGACTCCATTCAATTGTACCCAGTAGAGAGAAAACTTTTTAAATCTTTATGAGAAAGGCTACGCTAAATTCTAACTTCTTTTTATACAGGAGGAGTTTTGTGGCAGATTTCTCTTAATTTTTCAGAAGGTTGACTCTAGCTCATCCCTAGTTATATCCTTTAAGGACTTTAGGGAGGCTTGTTCATTAGCTTATTCTGTTAATATTTACATTGTACTATTAGTGTGCCATCTTATTTAATTTAATTATCTTATTTTTTGGCTGACCTTCAGTTTGATTATTTTTTATTTTATGTAATAACATTTTTTGAATTTCCACCTTGGTTTTTCGTAAAATAGTTTATCTGATTATTATTGAACTATTGTCATGATTGTGTTGTGTGATTCCATATCATTAGCCCTCTAAAAGTTTTTTATTATAAAAGATTTTCGTGTTTTCGAAAGTAATTAAACATTATAAGAAACAAGGGAAAAACACCTGAAACATTTCTGTCACTAAATAAATAATTTGGCATATGATGACTTTACTCAATGATATAGATACATTTATTAAAAAAAGTTTAAAAAGTTTTTCTTGGGTGTTATACTGTATAAATTACAGGCTATAAAATAATATTTGAATAGCAACAGAAAGAAAAAATTCTAATGTATTAGAGTTGTCTCCCATTGTCAAGTAAATCTGGATTTCACATATATATATATGGAATTTTATATAGAGTTTGCAATCTTTGCATTTATACTTCACAATAAAATTTATTATTAAATGCAATTTACCAACATTTTAAGAACCAGATTTTAGATATTTTATGAAATATCTTTCCTTTTATTAACAGTTTTACACACATTTAAATATATACTTGTGTCCATTGTAGTTTCTAAGGCTTACTAGCCAGACAAACAGATGCTATCGTTACCTTTCTTAACTTATTTTCAGTATCCAGTTGGGCCATTTCTATCAATTACCAGTAGTAGTGCCATAGTTATCTTAATTATGCAAAATAATCCTCTACCAAACCTATGAATGCTTATAAATAAATTAAAATTAAAACGGACACTTACCAAACAGTTTTTCTACTGGCTTAGTCATCTTTGTCCCTTTGGCAAGATTATAAAAAAATCTATCTACATCTAAAGCTACATGTCTCTCTCCAAACTTATTTGGCATTGGATCATAACTTCCAAGTCTCTCAATAAAGGGTCCATTTCTTGGTTTTCTGTTTTTACATACTACTATTTGGTAGAAAGGTCTGTTTGTACAACCATGCAGAGCTAGGCGTATTATATTGAATTTACTTCTATCTGGAATCCTTGGCATCTAAAATTTTACAAATATAAATATAAACATGTTTGTATCTTTCCAACTTAAACATGGTGCTGCACACAAGAAAGTGAAATAAAATATTGCTTATCAAATGGCACACAAAGACCAAAAACTTTTGATAACAGCAATAACTTTACAGGTCAATGTTTTGTCTTGTCCCCTAACTCCATAAATTGCATAATTGCAGAAAAAGTTAAAACATGTTGTTGTTCCAGAGTTACTGAACTTTAACTATTACATTTATGTTTAGGTTTTATTAGTTCATTTTTTAAACTTTGAGGATAAGAGATAAGAGATATGGGGTGAATGTAAGCAATGAGATAATATTATTGAGATATTAAAGCTGAGAAGTAAACTTATATCAAAGAAATAGTACCAACATAAACATTCATTTCAAAATTTTCCATCATGTCTCTTAAATCATGGTTTTGCAAGGGAAAAATCATAATTCCACTCTACTACCAATGTTATTTAATTTACTTCATTGAAATAAAATTTCCTGTAAATGTAATAGTTAAAGTTCAGTAACTCTGGAACAACAAACAGAAAATAAAAAAAAATCATGAGGAAGCTTCCTCCCTTCAATCCCCAGAATAATGTAAAGTTTTGAGGAAATCAATTCAGAAATACTGGAGTTAGAGCGCAATTTGTGAAAATCTGCCTTAAATCTAAGGGTCAAAGTTCCGTAAATTCTGGAATGACAAATCAAAAGGGTGCTTTCTTCTGTCAATTATAATGTTGTGTTAAAATTATATGAGAATGGGTTAAAGCGAAATTTGAGTCCTTGTACGAAGTGTTGACGGATGGACAGACACTAGTATACCATAATACGTCCAGATGGGCTCAAAAAAACAGATATAGCTTACAGCAAATAACCACAACCACTGATTTACAGGCTTCTGACTAAGGACAGGCACAGAAAGAAGGAGGGGAGGTTAAACATGTTTGTTGAAGACTACATTACATGTTGATACTAAGAAAAAAATTAAATTCATTTTTACCATACCTTTGGAACTAACAGGTCAAAACTATTACCAACTGTTGTCCAGCATCAGCAAACTAAACAAGTGGGGATTTCAAGTTTTACAGCATACTCTAAAACTGAATAGAAAATTAACATTATTATAATATATCCATTGTACATGTTGTATCTTTTTGTGTACATGAACTGTGCTGTCCACTAAATTATTTATTGGGTACCATTAACATACACTTAACTTGTCTTATGGAATTTCAACAACATGGCGGGTGATAAATTGTTTTTATTCCTTTTTGTGATTTTTCATAGAACATCATAAAGGAGCCTTCAATTTCCCACAAAATTGTATCATAGGGACATACAATTTCCTGCAGAATTTGCTTTTCTGATTATTGAAAAGTATGATCATTGAAAAGTATGATCATAAACAAAAAAATAAATATACACCAATAAAAGATTAAGACAACACTTTATAAATTTCATGTATACAAAGCACTTTTCAGTATTTACCTTCAACAGGAAAGATCAATGCTTAATATTTGAAAGCCAAGGATGTATAATAACCGAAACAGTTGAAGAGCTAAATGACCAAAAACCTGAAAAAGGACTTGGCCTGAGGGAGTTGAAGCTTAAGTTTCTTAATAATTTATAAACAAAATTTTTTAGAAAGGTTTGTTATAAATTATGTCAGTACCGAAATTACTGAGCTGATGATACCCTCACAGACTGGTAGTATCGGGTCCGATCCCCCTGATTACATGTTCGCCCTGAGTCCGTTCGCCCATAGAGTCCATTCACCCTGGGTTCGTTTGCCCTACTTTTAAAAAAATAATAATGTTGTGGTATTAAGGTTTAATAAACTTATTCAGATATTTATATGATCAATATTAAAGAATATATATATATTCTAAAAATTCATGAAAAACATGGAAATATTTAAAAATTAATGGCTAGTTTTGGAGCATTAATTGGCTTCATTCTTACATTTGTTTTATTTAGAATTCATTTTAATGACTGTTGATCATGTTGATTGTAATTTAGAATGCTGATTAGGTATGATTATGATGTCTCTGATCTCACTTATTTTTGTATTAATTGTCTTTGGTGGATTATAATGAAAGTAAAAAAAATTTTTAAATATAAAACTAGTCAGCTTGGAATTAGTAAAAACAACAATGTACGAATAATCTATTGTAAGACTTGAAAGGTTTTTTTTTTCGGCACGCAGCTTGGCTTCTTAGTTTGACACATTTCCTATATATGTGGTCTTTAAAATAATAGTGCAAGGACATAACTGGTGTGTGATGCAAAGTTCGAATTGGATCTTGTTATAACTGTTAATGATTGTTTTGAAAGTGTTAAAATGTATAAACAGAGACATATATGTGTATATATGTCTCTGGTATCAATAAAGAAAAATACATGCAGATAACATGGTCTTCAGTTGTTTTATATTAAATACCTTGCATTCCTGGTACTCTACAGTGCAAATTAAAGGAAAATGATTATTTGGTGGCAGAAATACAAGAGGGTCTGGATTGGGCCACACTTAAAAATATTTTGGTTTGCCCAAACCATACCCAAAGGTAGAGACAGTGGGTAGGTAGGTAGGCATTTTCTTTTTTTTTTTGGCAAAGAGAAATAAAAGTGTCAGATGTTTTTTAGTCTTCATGCCTATCTGATTAAAAAAATACTTTTTCACATCAGGACAATAAAAGATTTTGAGTAGGCAGTTATTTTCTGGGTAGGTATGGTTAGGGCAAACAAACATATTCTTTTTTATGGCCTTGGGGGTCCTTCATTTCTGTATTCTTTAATTTGTTAGGCCATTTTCCTCTATTCTTTATACTTTTTGCCCACTTTTCTCTATTCTTTATAATTTAGCACCTCGTTATTCTCTATTCTTTATTTTTTTTGGTCCATATTTCTCTAATCTGTAAACCCCCATCCACACCCTCATACAACATAAATATTCGACGATGTTTTCAACAAACTTTAACATACTGTTTTCAAATAATAAACATCATACAACAAGACAACAAAATAAAATAAAAATCAGAGCGATTGAACCCAGGGTGAACAGGTATAAGGGCGAACAGTTATTAGGGCAGACGTGAATCAGGGCAAACGGACCAACAAGCAGTGGTATCGACCCAGTGTTGTCAACAATGAAAACAAAACTTTATAAATTTCTTTTGTCCAAAGCACTTTTTCGGATTAACCTTCATCAGTCAGTCACAATGAAGAAATTTTAGAAAGGTTTGTTATAAATCAGCTGTCGAGAGCTCATAAGACAAAAATGTTAGGTAAATATAGCACCTGCCTCATATTACAAAATCAAAATGTAGCTCAAACAATAGTCAACGTATATTCATTCCTCCAAACAGAATTTCCTCTGGAAACTTTGTTATAAACAATGCCATAATATCTGTTCCTGTTGGAACAAATATTATATACCCTTAATTCCGTAACTGCGTAAGGAGAAATTCTGTAATATTTGTTCCAGTGGAAAAAATATTACAGAATATTTCTTCCATTTGGAACTTATAATTATTCATATTATAAAGGAACTTCGGTTGTCATTTGTTGATGTGGTTCATAAGTGTTTCTAGTCCAAATAATTATGGCGTCTTGAAAGGCTATGATATTTTTTTGCTTTGACGCCTTACAGCAATGTCATAACGCCGAACTCATATATTCAGTTGGACTTTGAGAGAGAATTTACTGCTTTATTAAAACGTTTAGCTGATTTCTCCTTCAGACGTTTCACTTTCAGAGTATAAAATATATTTTTGCACCAAACTAGGTAAAATTATACGGACCTGAATTTCTGGATTATATAAAACAAACGTTCCGGAAATTCGGGTCTGTCAAATTTTACCGAGTTTGGTGCAAAAATGGCTAAGGATGAAATTTGAAAAAAATAGGCAGGACAGGAGTTTTGAGTAAAAAAAAAAGGCAGGATGAGACACTTTGCAAAAAAAAAGGCAGCATGACAATTTATTTAAAAAAAAAGTCAGGATAAACTAAAAAAAAAAGGCAGGACCGAATAGAGTGAAAAATAAAAAGTCAGGCCAAAGATTACAACTAAAAAAAAATGCAGGACAACATTTTTCATCTTAGCCCCCCGAAAAAATACAATGGCAGCTCCCTTACTTTTTACACATTGTGACTTGGATCACAGGAATCGGAAATTCTATCAATAAAATTCTGTAAATAATAAAGTCGACTATCAATAGAGCTTTTCTCTACGAGAAGCTCTATTGATAGTCGACTTTATTATTTACAGAATTTTATTGATAGAATTTCCGATTCCTGTGCTTGGATGGAGAGTTGTCTCATTGCCATTGGCACTCATGTCATAGTCATACCACATCTTCTTATTTATATTCTATTTCATGAAAAAGAGGCAGAACTTGAATCTTCAATTTTCAGAAAACGTATTTATCTTAAGCAATGTGTACCATAATTTGTGATTTTATTTCTCAATGTCTTGTTCAGAACTTACGATTGACCTCTCGTGTTTTTTTAATATATTTTTTCTTCAGTGTAAATATACATCTTGTATTTACATTTAAAAGATAGGTATTTTCAAACATTTATCCGACAAAGAAATCACTTGAAGTTTAAACAAATCCGGGTGTAGAGCAGATAAAATCCGAAAAAAAAATTCTGTTAACCTTTTTTGGGCTATTTCAAGGTGTTGTTAACTGTTATTTGAAATATATATAAACTTAACTGTTTTCAACCCACTGTCTGTTATCTGTTCTGTTAAAATTGGCAATGTTGTTAACTGTTTTATATGAAAATGGGATTCCTGACTGTTATCTGTTACTCGACACTTATAGTGTTCACTGTTTTTGACATAATTTATCTCTGTTAACTGTTATTTACAAGAATTTTCAAGATTCACACCAATCACATTAAACAAATACAAATACAAATATTTTATTAGCACAAACTCATCAACAATAAATGGTTAAGGCTCATGGTATATTAATTACATAGTTGATCATACATAATAAGTATTGCAAATAATGACCGGTTAGTAGTATATTAATATGTAATTTTATAAACAATGATTAAGAATTAGACATATTGACAATTTTATAGCGTTTGTTCTGCTTTACGCCGGTTCAGACTGTCTGAAATGAAAGAGGAAGTCAATTTTAGGATTGTGTATGAATTATTATTTAATAAAAAGATTACATTATTTTCATTTTTTTGAAATTTTGTAGGATCAACGATTATATTTGAAACTTTTTGGTAAAATATGGCCCTTTTAGTTGAGTATTTTTCACAATGTAAAAGAAAATGTTTTTCATTTTCAATTTGACCAGAATTACACACAGAGCAGTATCTTTCATTTCTGGGAATATTTAGATGTCTCCCTCTTTCAATCATCAGTATATGAGCGCTTATACGGATCTTACATATTGCAGCTCTGTCACTTCTGTTTTTCAATATATCAACATAGGGTGGTCTTCTGCCCATTACGTAGACACTCTTGAAAAAGTCTAACTTTTTTTATTCAAATATATTTGCATTTTGAACTTGCAAACATTGGTCATTAATTCTTTGTTTAATGGAATTTAAATTACCTTTAACATAATTAAAGTTATTGATGATATAAGACATTCCAAGTCCATTCAAAAGACTCTTGACCTTTATGACCCAAGGGTTTGAATCTACAGATTTAGTGAATATATCATATGCCAAAGAATTTTCCGAAGAAACTATATGGTTCAGGTAGTTGAATATTGAATATAATATTTTATTTTTCAAGGGAATTCTATTAAGTTCGGCTCGACATCCATCATTAGATGCCTTACAGTGAACCCCTAATATATCTTTGATAAATTTAACATGAAGTTTTTCAAAGGGATCAGAGTCCTTTTAAAAAATGTGAATCCACCCCCCAAATTTCACTACAATATGTAAGAATGGGAGTAACTAAACAATCAAACAATTTTTCAAGAAGTCTACATGGGTTGTTGAGACCTATAGTTTTCTTTATCTTATAGTATGCCTTCCTGGCTTTTTCCATTAGAGTATTCACAGCAAGGCAAAAATTGCCATTATACTTTAAAACAATACCCAAGTTACAATAATTTGTAACCGTTTCAAGATATGCATTATCATAGGTAAAATGGTTTAACAATGTCTTGCCATTAGAATTAAATATCATAATTTTTGAATTATCAGTATTAACTTGTAGTTTCCATGATGAACAATATTCATGTAAAATATCAAGAGATTTTTGTAGACCCTCTTTGCTTTCAGATAGTAAAACAATATCGTCTGCATATAAAAGAATGTTCAAAGAGGTATCCCCAATGGCAACTGGATCCGTATGTTTGTTATCAAGATTACCTACTAGTTCATTTATAAAAAAGTTAAAAAGAAGGGGACTCAATACGTCACCTTGTTTAACACCCCTTTCTGATAGGAATGGAGGACTCAGGCCATTAGAGAATTTTATTCTACATACTGTATCAGTATACATTGAATAAATAACATTAGACATTTTTTGGGGGATATTATGTTTTATGAGTTTAGAAAATAAACCTAGTCGCCATACGGTATCAAATGCCTTTTTTAAGTCTATGAAGGCAGCAAAAACTTTTTTCTTTTTTTGTCTATATTGATCAGTTATGGTCTTAAGAGTGAATATGTGGTCAGCTGTACGACTTTTCTCTTTAAATTCAATTTGATTTTTACTTATTAAATTTTTGATATCCATAAATTTTATTAAACGTTTACATAAAACCTTATTGAAAAGTTTACCCAGGTTGGAACTAATAGATATACCTCTATAGTTCAAACATGCTGTTATAAATCTCTTTCTTTAATATACGGCGCTCCCTCAAAGGAATAACATAAACAGCATATATGTAACTGTCTATTGAAATCTTTAAATTTATTTCAGTTCCCTATTTAATTTATCCCCACGTTAACAGGAGGTCCGAGAACATAGTTATCGTCCTTTGATTTTAGTTCAAATATATAGTCCTTACTGTGGACAGTGTATTAGTTGCAATTTTTTTCATACACCTTCCAAATTTATTTCTTCATGTTTTATGCCTCAAAATAGCAAGTAGGGGGATGAAGTTACACTTTAAAAAGAAATGGGTCATGCATTTTAAAGTAAAGTAGCGATTTGGTCCAGTTGAAAAAGGTTAAAATTTAGTATGTCTGAAGCTGTCAAAAGAATTCAAGACCCCCTTTAGCATGATAAAATTGTCAATATTTTGAGTTAGAGCTGATGAAGTTTTCTATAGTTTTGATGTAATTTGTCCCAAAAGTAGTATACTACACTGTAAAAATATTATTAAGAAAGAACAGGTGGGATTTTTTTAATTTTCATTTATTGTCTTAAAGAAATGCACTACGAAATAACTGTGTTCTCGGGCCAGGATTGGCCACTTCTGACCAGGGGAGATGTTCTGACCCAGCTCAGCCCCCAGCTTAATCCCAAGATAGAAACAATGACAATGAGATTAAGATAATAGAGGTTGTTGAGTTCTTTAATACAGTAAAATACTCAGTAGGCGGAGAAAGAACAGTGAATTTGCTCATAGGACCAATGTAGCATGGTCAAGGTAAAGGTGGTGGAAAAAAAGCTGAAGACTCAATGATGAACTTTATTCAGTTAAAGTTGGTGTTAACTGTTTTTGCCAAAATCGAGGTGTTGTTAACATGTTAACGGACCCCCTATTGCCCCCCTGATGAGTTAAGCCTGATGTTTATAGTTTGTTCTTATGTTGTGCTGTTACACCATTGTCCCAGGTTAGAGGGGGGGATTGAGCGCTCACAAACATGTTTAACCCCGCCACATTCTTTATGTGCCTATCCCAAGTCAGGAGCCTGTAGTTCGGTTGTTGTCGTTGGTTCATGTCTGTCATATTTGTTTTTTCGTTAATTGTTTTGTTATAAATTAGACCGTTAGTTTTCTCAATTGAATTGTTTATTTTTCATGTCGGGGCCTTTTATATCCGACTATACGGTATGGGGTTTTTCTCATTGTTGAAGGCCGTACGGTTGCATATAATTGCTTATATCCACTTTATTAGAACTTTGGTGGATAGTTGTCTCATTGGCAATCATACTTCATCTCCTTATTTTTATATTAGACCCGTTTTGCATGGATTTCCAGTGGCGTAGCTAAGCCATTTTTAAGTGTACGCCCGAACCTCGGCGAGGGGTTTGAGGGTCCCCAGCGGGTACAGGACAATGGACCTCCCAGCAGGGGTCCGACGGAAGCTAACGATTTATTGAGAGAGATACTATTTCTGTCATTAAAACTCATCAATAGCAACATACTTTAAAGTCTAATTTCTTGATTTTTTCATGTATAATTTATTCAGTGTGTTGATTTGGAATCTAATGGCCAGTAGTTGTTACTATGAAATATGTTTAAAGGGAGATGTGGGGTAAAAAAATCAATCGACCAAAGATCCAAACCTTTCGAAATATAAAAAAAGCAAGTCTACATTTTCAATGGTGTCGTTCTTCTGATTATTATGACTTAATCTAGTTTCCTCCCCTTTTATGCGCAAATTTTGTAAATGGACAAGTATATGCAATAATAAATCTTCATAGATGGTCATGTGTGATATAAACATACTCAAAGGGTTCCGTGGAATCCTGTGTTTCGCCTGGGATTGCTGCTGTCGGTTAAACTATAAAAAGAGAATCCATTTATTAGTCAAATACAGGATTTAAAAGTAATCAAACTTTTCTTTAAATGTTTTTCTTGATCTTGGAAGATAAGCTTCTGTCCAAGTTTCATAACAATCTATGAAAATTTACAAATGTAGCAGGTGGAAAATATTCAATTCAAGACCGTCTGCTAATTGCCCCCAAAAAAAGGGTAAAATACTGAAAAATGAAAAAAAAAATTTAGACTGAAATTTGCTGACTGTTGTAAAAGTTTTGAAATCATTTAAAAATAAAGGAATATATCTCCCCCGTGCAAAGCTCTGATTCTTTGTCCGGAATTGGCTATACTTTAGGTACAATTTATTTTGATCAGTTCTTCCAATGTTTTTATTTGGTTTTGGATTTTCAAATATTTCGGCCTCGAGCATCACTGATGAGACATTAATTGTCGAAATGCGCATCTGGTGCAAAAAAAAAATCGTACAGTTGGTGTTAACATTTTTACATAAAATTCGATGAAGTTTTGACAAAGTAATTGATGCGTAACAAACAGTATCTACTTGTTAACTAATAAAAACAATGTTCTTTTCAGTAAAATGCGGAAAAATTAAAAGTAAATTTTCATAATTATGCTCAGGATACTCTTTTGATCATAAAAAAATTTCTGCCTATATTCTGTAAAATTTCATAAAGGTTTTACAAATTCATTGATGTTTTAAAAAAAAATTTAACCACAGGCTGAACATAAATATTGACGACGCCAACGCCGATTACGGAATGTCTCGCAGGCTCGACAAAACTGCATATCGTATCTCAGTAGATAATGAATTGCTTTAAACTATAGGAAAGGGAGAATAATTCACAGTAGATTCAGATTTTGACAGAAAACGAACAAAT